AGAGTTAGTGGTCCACCTGTGTTATATGGTTTTCATATAACAACTGAAGGTGATACATTTATCAGTGATAGCACACTGGTAAATTTGGATGAACCTAATAACTACAGCGAAGCCATGGAAGGCCCCGATTCTGCAAAATGGAAAGAGGCTATGGATAGTGAGATTCAGTCCATGTATGACAATCAAGTTTGTAACTTGGTTGACAATGTATCGAGTCGTAAGACAGTCGGGTGCAAATGGATCTTTAAGAAGAAGACCGACATGGATGGGAAAGTATACACATATAAGGCGCGAATGGTTGCGAATGGCTTTACTCAAACTCCGGGAGTTGACTACGATGAGACCTTCTCACCAGTAGCGAAGATTAAATCTATAAGGGTTATGCTAGCCATAGCTGCATTTCATGACTATGAAATATGGCATATGGATGTCAAAACCGCTTTCCTTAATGGAAACTTGGTTGAAGATGTTTACATGAGTCAGCCAGAGGGTTTTGTCAATGAAAAAGTACCCTAATAGAGTGTGTAAGCTTGAGAAATCCGTTTATGGATTAAAACAAGCATCTCGCAGATGGAATCTTTGTTTTGATGAGAAAGTCAAAGAGTTTGGATTTTCGAGAAGCGAGGATGAGTCCTGCGTATATGTCAAAGCTAGTGGGAGTATAGTGAGCTTTCTGGTATTGTATATAGATGACATACTGCTCATAGGAAATGACATCCCAACCTTGCAGGAGGTTAAGTCCTGGGTTGGGAAGTGTTTCGCTATGAAGGACCTCGGAGAAGCTGCTTACATCCTAGGGATAAGGATATTAGAGACAGGAGTAAAAGACTAATAGGACTTAGTCAAAGTACCTACTTGGACAAGGTGTTGAAACGTTTTAGCATGGAGAACTCCAAGAAAGGTGACTTACCTATCCAAGGCAATACCAAACTGAGCAAGATTCAGAGTTCGAGTACAGAGGCTGAAAACAGCAGAAATGAGTCATATACCATATGCTTCCGCAGTTGGTTCGATCATGTATGCTATGACTTGTACTCGCCCTGATGTGGCCTTTGCTTTGAGCATGGTCAACAGATATCAAGGGAACCCTGGTAAAGCTCATTGGACTGCGGTTAAGAACATTCTTAAGTACCTGCGGAGGACTAAGGACTGGGTCCTTACTCTCGGTGGGAGTGATGACTTGAGAGTAACAGGGTATAGCGACGTGAGCTTTCAAACCGACAGAGATAATTTCCACTCTCAGTCGGGCTGGATATTTACCCTGAATGGAGGAGCAGTGACATGGAAAAGCTCCAACCAGGAGACTATAGCTGATTCAACGTGCGAATCAGAGTACATAGCAGCAAGTGAAGCATCGAAGGAGGCGATATGGTTGAAAAACTTCATCGGAGACCTTGGAGTCATTCCATCCATAAAGGAGTCTGTGGAGATTTTCTGCGATAATGAAGGGGTGGTTGCCTTAACCAAGGAACCGAGAGATCATGGAAGATCCAGGCATATCGACAGAAAATACCACTTCATAAGACATCAATTAGAAGAAGGACACCTCGTGGTGAAGAGGATATCGTCAGAGGACAACCCAGTAGATCCCCTTACAAAGGTACTGACCAGGGTTAAACACTTGCAGCATGCAAGGGGCATTGGGGCTAACGGACGATATTAGTTTTAGTGGTTAGATAAACCGAAACTTTTAATAGCTAAATTGTAATTGACATTTGATGATTGAATAAAAGGAGTTTTATTTATATGTAAAGTTACTGTCTTGTGTCAATTGTTTACTATTATTTCACTTTGCAAGTTTTGACTTCTAGAATAATAAGATTTATTCAAACTATCCACCGTCGATCATAATTGGAAGTATGAAAGAAGACTATCATGAGTTGGCTTGTAGATTGTCTAAGGCGTTAGGCATAGCAACAGTTTGCTACACCATTCATGAGTACTTCTGAAATAAGATTTGAGTATTGGATCAACCCGCACTCACTTGAATCACTTCATGGAATTTATCACGAGTGATCATGAGACGATAATATCATATAAGTCTTCCAACCTAGATATATGAGTTGTTGACTATGAATTAGTTGTTCTTGAGGATACGAAAACACATCAGTAACTTGATGTTATAAAACGTATCGTTGTGCATGATTTAATGAGTAGTTAGTACAAGCATATAATGTCGAAGTTTATCTGTTACCTTTTATCCTAAGAGGATTAAAAGCGATATCTTGGGCCCCTCGATGATTCTGTTTTGACTTATGTACCGGGCCCGGTGAGAACTAAATTGATGTGTTTAGTTATCTTCCATGTCAGACGAATCGGAAATCGGGAAGCAAATTGTTGGAAAATAAGTATGACATTGTTCCATGTATTTGTCCAGTTGATATCTTGAGAATAGAGGATTATATGATCTCTTATCTAAAGGATGCGTCACTGACTGGGTCAGAGTTGACAGCGGCTTTTGAAAGCTTATGATTGCTAAGTCGGATCCTGATGTTACATTGGCAGCTATAGTTATTAGACTTATCCAAGTGGGTGACTGTTGAATTTGGTGTCTAAGCCCATAACTATAACTGGGATGTACTTGACCCGATAGCAGCATGGTCCTTTTGGGTTGCCTTCACCAGTGCAATTTGATAGGATGTACTTTTGAGAATAAGGTTATTTATGATTTATTAATATATTACAAGTATAATATATTAATCATATTATTTAATTAGTATTGATCAAGAATTAATTTGGAATTAATTTTGTGGTTAAAAGAGACTAATTAAATATATGGGGATTGATTATGTAAATCAATGATTCTTGTAGTGTGGGCCAATGATCCATGATTATTTAGATGGGCTAAACCAATAAGTTAATCCATGGATAGTCCATGGAGGTTAAACACATGGAGCATAAGAATGTGAAAAGTCATGGAGCATTAGGGTTTGCAAAGTGTAACCCTAGCATTTGCCACACTATAAATAGAACCCTCATGAGCCAAAATCGGTTACACCATCTTTTTGAGATAAGTAACTTATTCTCTTAAGCCTCCTCTTGCATATTGGTGTTTGTGAACCATTAGAGGCATCACACTTGAGGTGCTCAAGCTTTCAAAGGTTAAGAACTCTACCCTACTCAAGAGGTAAGCATCCAAACTAAGTTTTTATTATATAGCTTCAATTGTATGCTAGCTAGGGTGAATGCTTTGGAAAAACAAAATGCATGTATAATTAGAGAAAACATAGATCCAAAGCACTTAGGGTTGCATGTCCACCATAGGAGTGTTATAGTGCTCAAAACCCAACACTTTATGGACTAAGAACCTCAGAAACATCAAAAGGAACATATCATAACTTCTGGAGTAGCATTTACTCACAAGAACTCATTCATGGGACCAAAATATGCTAAAATATCAACTAGTTCTAGATCTTAGCATAGAATAACCAAGGTCAAAACTTTATACCTCTAGGAAGCTAAGGAAGATGAATAAACCCTGGATCTACAAGCTCATACTTGATCAATGCTCCTTTACCAAGCTCATTCTTCTTCAAGATACACCAAACACACACCAAAACACACATAAGGATCAATTCTCTCTTAGAAATGGGTTAGGGTTTCGTGATAGTGCTTAAAGGGGCAATGAAGGCTGATAATGAGAGAGCCATGGGACATAAGGTGTTTAAATAGGGTGCAAACCCTAAAATTCAGGGTTTTCCTCTGGCTCACATATGCCTAGCGTACCAGGGGGTGAACCCCATGTCCAACATCCTTCGAGGTACGCCCAACGTACCTCATGTATGCCCAACGTATGAGGTCTTCATGCAAAATAAATAGACATTTAATAAATAAGAAATTTAACTGAAATATCGGGTGAAACAGTATTTTTGGGACGTTTCATCTAACTAAATTACATCTTTAAGGCTAGTCATGCATGTTGTACTGCCACATCACTATTTTGCATGCCACCTCAACTTTGCACACTACATGTTTAATTTGCCATTTAAAGGGAATGAGATGCCATAATAATTTTGTATTATTGGTAAAATAAATAGGAACAAATAATAGTTTTTAAATTTATCTCTCATTTACTAGGAATTGTCGAGCTCCTTGTCATGTCATGGTCAAGGGGCGGTGTTCCCGTGGCATGTCATGGTCTACATCAACATGCTGATGGGTGGCATCGAACAACTCCTTTTAGTCTGATGGTTAACCTCTACAATAGCTTTTTTATGAGTGTAACTAATTGATCTTAATCTATCTAAAATGTTTTATAAAACCTATTCGTTTACTTAGTTTTTTAAACACTTCATATATTTTAATAGATATAACTTTTATTAAATTTTACTGTGGTTTTAATATATAAACATTTGTAACATTTAATAGAAATAAATATGTATTACAAAAGGTAAGATTCAATATTATTACAGAGAAAGGTTAATGAACAAGTTATTATAGTATATTGACCATGGTAAAAAAATATATCTTTTAATGATGTTAAGTGGTCAATATAGTATATATCTTTTAATGATGTTAAGTGGTCAATATATCTTTTAATGATGTTAAGTGGTCAATATAGTATATATCTTTTAATGATGTTAAGTGGTCAATATAGTAAAAACCTAAAAAAAAAGAGTAAATTACATAAATGGTCCCTATGGTTAGGTTAATTTGTGTGTTTGATCTCTACTTATTTTTTTTTAACTTATGCGGTCCTTATAATATGTTTTTATTGCGTCTTTAGTCCTGAAAAACATAAAAAAAAAAAAAACTATTTTGCTCTCACTTATTTTTCTTTAATTAATTATCCATTAATTTGTTATTTTTCTAAACAATAAAATAAATTAAAATTAAAATAGATTCACTGCCGCCCAACCTAACCCCATCCCTCCTCCTCATCCTTGTGTTCAGTTACCGGAAAACCATCTTCGGCCTCCCCAACACTAAACTCCGGTCACAGCCACTTATATATATATATATATATATATATATATATATATATATATATATATAAAGATGTGGCATCACCCCCCATCACCCCCTTCTCTTTCCATCGCCATGAAACCTCTTCTTCAGATATCACCGACGAGTTCTAAAACCTGTAACTCCGACCAGATGCAAGAAATCATTTGCACAAATCCAAATCCATATAGCCAAATATGACACCAAAATTACACAAAATCTGAAAAAAACGAAACCGATTTTGAAATTCATTTCAAAAATCGTTTGAACAAAATCCCCATAAATCATTTTGAAGATCTTGAGTTCTAGAAATCTTTTGTAGATTTTAAAACCCCAACATCCTCTCTTACCTTTCCAGAAATAGTTTGTAGATCTTGAAATCCTAACTCCGTTTAGATTCAAAAATCATGGTGGATTTTGTTTGTTGTTGTTGGTGATCGTAGGTGGTCGTGGGACGTAAGTGGTCGCCGATGGTGTTCTAACAGAAGAGAGAAATGAGAGTAGGTGGTGCGGTGGTGGTTAGTATGTTCAGAGATGAAAGAAACGAAGTAGGCGATAGTGCGACAGTGTTTTAGGGTGGTCACCGGAAGTGGATGTGGTGGTCGTCCTGGTGGTGAATTGACGGAGGTAGAAAGAAGGGTGGTCGGGGAGCTTTCTAGGGAAGAAGAGAGAGGTCTCAAAGTAGATGAGAGAGAGAGAGAGAGAGGTAAGAAAGGGTTGTGGATTAGGCTATTACTATTGTTATCATATATATATATATATATATATATATATATTAATTTAAAAATTAGAAATAAATAACATAAAATTTTAAAAAATGTTAAGCGTAAAATAGTTATTTTATGTCTAATAAAGACCAAAGACGCAACAAAAACATAACATAGGAAGTGTTCGAGTTAAAAAAAAATTAAGGACCAAACATACAAATTACCCCAAATCATCGGACTATTCGTATAATTTACCCTAGAAAAAAGGCTTACACTGAAACGCTCCTAGATAAGTGAAGTGTCATTTTTGCATACAAAATTAATCTAAAGATTTAAGTACACATTCTGCATATTTTATGGCAAATGTTTGAACAACTTCTGGAGTTATTGTTATTGGACTACATATAACAAGAGCTACTCCACTAAAATAAAAAATAGTTTAGCATTTCATCACATGGAATAGTAAATCTGTGTCTTTAATCATTTGACAGCGAATAAGACAGAGAGTCTGGAGGCGATCTACGTGTTTCGCAATGAATACCGTTATAAAATACGAACATGCTTAAAGAACATAATTAAAAGTTGTTTTCTTTTTCTTTTAGAAAAAAATAACCAACAATTACGAAATGACAAATGTGTCGTTCCGAACCGTTAGAACTGCTAAAAGGTTTTGACAAAAAAAACATTATGGATTCCAAATTTATACCAAAATTACAAATTAAAAAAAAAAGAACTTACAGAATTTCAAAAAGACTAAGGTCTCGTTTGATAGTTGCTGATTAAGAAATTGCTGACTGTGAAATGTCTGTCTAGGTAAGAAATCCTGACTGAGTAAGAAACCATGTTGTTTGATTCTATGTCTGACTGAATGGCCTCACTAATAAAAAATGATCATTTTACCCTTTGCTCTATACATTGATATAAATTACACACAAATCCTTTAAAAATTCCAAATAAAAATTATAAAAAAAATTATTGTTTTTACAAAGTTATAAATAAATTCATTGTTGTTCAACAATTCAAACAATTTATTCATTGACCAAAATTGATACGGAACAACAGTAAACATAAGAATAACACTTTGACCAAATTGCCCCAGCTCCATTTTTATTCCAGACCATTCCATGAGCATAGAATTTTGACCATATGTCTTGTAAAAAACAGATCCTCTCATCCATATCTTCAATAATCTACTAATTTTGAATTTCTTGATCCAGAAAAACCAATTGAGAACCAACGATGTTCTTGCACATGGATCCATCATAGATACAAAAATATGCATTCTAAATATTCATCATTACTCATCTAGGTGATTAACATCCAAACAGTCATGTAGAAAGTACCACGTGTTTGCATACAAGATTATGCCTTTTCCACCCTTGTTAGTGTCTACATCAAATCTCCTATATTGCCCGTATTCTGACCGAGGATATGCTATAACAACAACATCATGCTTGAAGTAGTTGTTATGGAAAAATATATATTCTTTTCTTGTCTTAGCCATTCCTACAGCTGCAGAAAAATAAGTACACAATTGAGATACAGAGCTTATAAACAAGGGACAAGCAAACAAATGTATACAAGCACTACCCTTCTCAAACATATCAATTTTACAAAAATGCAAAATGTTAAAAGTAAAAGGCGTTCACCATGACATATTCATAATCCTAGGGATCGTAAAAGTGAATAGGATTTCATGGGGGTACCAACTGACGACTACAATATTAATACCCCAATACTCCATAGTCCATACCATGAAATGGTTACTGTAGCATAAAGCTCCTGTTTCAAATAGATGAATGGCTCGATATTTTTAACCTCAAACCAGTCATAGGAAAACTCAAAGGTAACCCATTTTTTATCTGAATGTTCGAGAATATACCTATATACTAAAAAGCAAAACAAATAACCCAAACTCCTATTAATGCTGGTTATCGAAGGTCTCCGGCCGGTGACTGACGGCATACGGCGATGAGCAGGTGAAGGAGGAGAATTCGCCGAATTCTGTGGAGCTGGACGCCGGCAGTGGAGATGCAGAGAAGCGCCGACAGAGGTGCTAGGCGGAGCAGGGGCTGAGGGAGTGGAGCCTTCTGTTTCTCTCTTCAATTCAGGTCTTCACAAAATCACAGCAAACTAGCAACTAGCAAAGTATACCAAATTCATGGCAGAGGTCCGATCGGCGACCTCTGTTTGACGTTCAATTGAAGATACGATGTGGAGTTGTATGCGGCTGTGTTTTTAGGTCAGGGAACGATGGAAGAAAGAATAAAGAGGGAGGGGTAGGATCGTCTAATGTCTCAGTCAGCGATTGTTAAGATACTGAGCGAGAAAGCGATTGGGCCAACCAATCTTCCGAGAAAGCAACAATTCAAACACTTATGGTCTGACCGAGTCAGCCCAATTCGCTGACTCGACCCGGTCAGACCTTTATCAAACACACCCTAAAATTCGATGAATAATTCTGAAATTTTGAAAAAATACTTCACTTTTTACTAAAATTTAACAAAATGTTAAAGATACATAGCAAAACGGAAGTATATATGATACAAAAGACTTAAAATTCTATATTTTATTGAAAAACAGTGATATTAGACACTTCGAAATGAAGTTTCAAATAAGAATAAAGAGATTTTTTTAAATAAAATTTTGCAAAAAGAAAAAAAAAAGACTCCTGAATTTTAAATATAATTCTGGAATGGAGCTTTTGGAGAAATTTGTTATTTTTCAAAAACTAAAAAAATAGTTAATTTTGTTAATAACTCGCAGATGAGGATTATTTTAGTTAATATCCCCAAAAGTTTTTAATGCGAACAATAACATGGTATTTTTATAAGGAAATTTCGTGTTTATTATTCTCCTTTTGAAAGCAAGGAATAAAAATCAATATTGATTTTTAATAGTTGAGATACGGTGTCTTGTATCTTTATCCTATAAAACTTAAGAGTATTTTTGCTGATTTGTTGCAACGAGAGCATTTCTAGGCCATATGACGTGCCATGTTTGTAAGTCCCCAATCTGCTTGTGTATCAATCAGATCCGTTTGATGGTGCGGAATCCCAATCAAACGGATGATGCCAGATCAAATAGA